TAATTACTGGAACATCATAAGAATGGTACGAGTATTTGCTATTGTGACTAGTAGTGCTAGTAAAATTTTCATATTAGGTTTTACAAATATGTTGCCAGCCACTTGCCAGAGAGCAGTGTGAGAAGCAGTGAGTGGCAGGGGATGTGGTTAAATAGAAAATAGCCAGAGGCCAGATCTTGTAGGGCTTTGAGTTACTCAGTGAGAAGTTTGGGCTTTAAGTTAATGGAAAAAATTAGAATAAAGAGTGAAATGTTCTGATTTGCATTTTTATTATTTTAGTTTTCATCTCTTTATTAAAGACTTAGGCTAGTTTCTTTGCTTAAAGGCTATTCAGAAAATAATAGAGGTAAATTGTGCAATTCTTGCTGCTTCTTGAGGGAGACAAAATAGTAACTTCACTGAATTCAATGCCAGTCACTTTCCCTAGTGTTCTTTGAAGGCACGAAAAGGCCTGAGGCCAATACTATACTATATTCAAGAAATGGTTCAAGTTCAGGTTTCTTAATAACCTACCCCCCAGCAAATTTGTTGAAAATTGTCACATTACAATCCCTTGCATAATCATCAATAATGGCCAATTTGTTACAATTTGTTACTATCAATTTTCTGACATGGTTGAGGCAAATTTCTAGCTCCTGTAACTTCTCTCTTTGTCTAATCTCCCCTTTCTTGATTATGTTCACAGTCTTTGTTTCTCTATTTTAAGACACCTGAAGGTCTCTGCAATACCTAAAATCCATTGCCAAGTACCAAAAATAAATAAATAAATCTTATCCTGAGGGGGAAATAAATTCACAGTTGAAAACAGCTTACATAAAAATAGTAAAGCCAGCAGCATCCAGAAGGGACTGTTGCCACAGAGATCCCATTGCAGACATCCTATGTGGCAGTTCCTTAGATCATTGCTGTTAGAATAATTATTAGTATTGGTGGTTGTCAGTAACCATGTTCAGTGTTTTAATACATACAAGCGGAAAGAAGAAAGACACTTATCGCGCGCTTGCCCACTTGGTGACATTGTCTGGCAGGCTCATTATGTAAGAAGTAGAAGTGGGGACACAAGCAACTTTGCTTCACTACTGGACAAAAAGCTTTTGCGTTTGGAAGGCGGTGGACACACTTTCGTTACGAAAAGCTTGCGAATGTACTGCAAGAAAAAAGCTTAGAACAAGGCAAATTTGTATAACTAAGTAGCTCTCATGTAACAAGAAAATGGGAGAGGTCTGGGGTATATAGAATAATAATTATATACATGGTATGTCACACCTACCACAGTGATTTAAAGATGTGTTTGTACAGGTTTATCTTGAGTGCAAATAGCTATCACTATATGTATGGTGCCAGTTGCAATACCAGGAACACCAAGGGGAACACTAGCAGGGGTGTTCAACCTCCTGGCATCTCTGGGCCACACTAGAAGAAGAAGAGCTGTCTTGAGCTACACGTTAAATAGACAAACACTAGCAAAAACCAATGAGGAAAAGGAAGGTTTTAAGTAAATTTGAGATTTTATGTTGGGCCGCATTCATAGCCATCCTGGGACATAGGCAGCCTGCGGGCCACGGGTTGGAAACTCCGGAATTGTAAAGTATGTGATTGTGTAACCACCTGAAACCAATACAAAATAAAGTTAAAAGGAAAAAAATCAGAGGTCTCAGTTACAGTGTAAGAAAATCTGTTTCAGTAATTCTAAAGTTGGCCCAGATCTGGTTTTGTAATACTAAAGTACGGTTAGATGCAGGGAATGCACTGAATACTAGGTGGGTATAGCAACACTGACTACCAAACTTGGATCCCAATTCCGGTTTCGTGTGCTTTGGGAAAGTCAACTAAACTTTTCAATGATCGCATTTAAAATCTGACAAGTTACTCTTTGTTCTATTATGAAAACTAAATTTTTGATGTAGTTGTCTATCCTTGTTACAAATTGTTTTATAATTCTGTTTGGGAAAAGCTATGACTATTGCTTTTTATATCAGATTTAGAGTCAAACTGTTAATGTTTATTTTTTCAGTAAGTAGTTCTGTCAGAGATTTCAGGAAAATTTCAGCGGGAAAGAATAAGTGCCAGTGCTCATAACTCCTGAAAATATAAATGATTAAACAACCCCTCTGTTCTTTTAAGTGACTTTCCTAACACCAGCAAACTGATTTTTCAAGTGACAGGGCTGGGACCTGCCTTGAGGGTATATATTTTTCAACTTTCAGAGTAGTCTCACCTCTGCAGTGACAGATGTATCGAAGCCAATGGAGAAAGTGCATTTTTTACATGTATTTATTCAACTGGTGTCCATTAGGCACCTCCTTGAGTCACCAGAGACTCTGGAAACAAGAAAATGAAGAAAATGAAAAAAAAGCCCTGCTCACCAAGGATTACATTTTAGAAATAGCAGACCAATGCAACATATTCTAAACATATAAGTACATATGTAATATAATGTCGTAAGTGATGCATTTTATACAGAGAAGACAAGTAAATGTAGGGGCTATGAAAGGATGGCCACAGAGTGGTAAGCACAGTGGTGTCACTGCAGATAGGAGACCAAGGATAATCCGTCTTGTGCCATAAACTTTGATTAGAGAATGAGCTAAATAAATATTTAGAGAAAAACCACCCCAGCCTTAGACCAGTGGGTACTAAATACTGAGACAGAAGCTTCTCAGCAAGTTCAAGGCATAGCAAAGAGCCCAGTGCAAAATGAGGCAAGTGGGCCGCGGGGAGAGTAGTGGGAAATGAGGCCTAGTAGTCTACGGTGGAAAATGTCGTTTTAATATAAATCTCATTGATAGGTGAGACCATTGGGTCATTTTTTTTATTACAGTTGTCCCAATTTTAAGCTGTTGCTCTCCCCTGCTTCACCCCCAAATCGATGAGAGAAATGTCATGATGTAACATTTCTTTTTTAATAGTCAGTATGAGTATTATGTGACAAATAGATTGTAGGGGAAAAGGCTATACAGAATGACAACTTAAAACACAGAGCAGGTCAGAAATGAGAAAAACCTTATATTTAATGGGTGTGTTGGTTATAAGAATTCCAAACTTGTCAAGGGGATTTTAGATCTACAGAGGTCTTATCTCAGTTTTTCCTCAAAAGGAATTTCAAGGCACATCGGGAAGGAGTCTGTTCACATACTTTCTTTTAATAAAAGGAAACGTAGGGTAGAGAGGGGTATAAAGAAGTCTACTAGGCTTTGAAGCTTTGAAGTGGGAATAAAAAAAGATTGAAAAAATAAAGTGGATGCTTCTTTTCCCCAAATGAGAATAAGAATCTAGTTTCAAAACTAGTAATGAATGTGTATAGAATCATTTCTACTGTGAAAAATGAACTGTGGCTTGGTTTTGATTAATGTTTTATTGGTGTTTTAAAGATCCCAGAAAAACTAGTACTCAGCCTATGAAATTTTAAAACTTAGAAAGCAAAAGAATCTCTTTTTGATTGTATTTGTTCTTTTACTATAAAAATATTATTGGAAATGTAAGTATTTTATTCTTGTACTTCTACACTTAATTTATGAAAAGAACTGTCTCATATTTCTTTGGATTATAGCCTATATTACATCTTACTAAAAGTATTATGGTTGTAAGTTGGAGTAAATAAACTTTTCATTTTTTCCCAGGCACTATTAATTACCTATTAAGGCAAACAATTTTTAAAAATCTGGAAAATAATTCAAACCAGAAGGGTAAAGGAAACAATTACATCCTTATAAAATTTTTATCAAATAAACAGAATCCCTTAATTAGTATTCTGACTCTCAAAAGGACAGAAAAATTAGATAACTCCAGGAGAAAGATGTTTGATTATTGTGTTTAAAACACGGAGACACTTGATGCCACTACCCAGTGGTTTTAAAAGGACGTTCATATCTCAACTCATTCATTTTAATAAATATCAATTCAACAGAGCATTATCTAGACAAATCCAGTCTTTTTCTTCAGATAATCAAAATTAGGAGAATTTCTCTTTAGGCAAAACTAATCATACCTCCTCCTCACCACGCGCACACACACACATACACACACTCACACACACACACACATACTACATAGAGAGAAAAAGAGAAATGTACTGTGCATGTGTCTGATTCTACATGCATAATAATTTACCTACTGGGGATTTTTTAGTGCATCTATGCATGTATAGATACCTTTATGTTTTGTTGTATTTTTCCATTACCATTATCGCCTTTATACACTCTCTGCCTTACAATGTCCATCCTGTTGTCCACGTTTTAAAAAATCAGCGTTTGTAAATGTTTACAGTTTTTCCTATTTATACAATCTCATTTAACACTCAGAGGGAATAGCTATCACTATCATGAGGGCAGCATACCGGTGAGGAAAAAGAAACACACAGAAGTTAGCTAATTGCCTGCAGAGCTGAACAAAGACTGTAACCTTTAACATGAGCAGCCTGACTCCCAAGTCTTTGCATGTCATAACCATGTGTGACACTTCCAGTGTTATGTGTATACTCCTAAAGGTTCACTCGCACATGTGTAATAAAGTAACTTTTGGTAAAGCTGACCTAGAAGTAGTGTATTTTGAGACGCAAAATTGGGACTCAAGCTCAGGAAGGCTTCTAAGAATTGCCTTACAAATTTAGCACCATCCTGTATCTCCTTACTGCTTGGCCTATGCAAGGTACACAGGGCAACCTTCAGAAAAGAGACTCAGTGAGTTTGCATAGCTTTTTCAAATCTAAGGGAATAAGAAGAGACATTAAACTGTCTGATGTGTTAAAGAAAAATAATTACCTACCAGGTCACCTGGTGAAGTGAGAGTTCCTAGAAACTGCGGTGTAGGTCGATCACAGAAAAATGTCTTTACATTATCTGAGCAAAGGAAATTATACAAAACACATCAGATCTTAAATAAAAGCTAATTAACCTTGGCAATTGTACCATGGAGTAATTAGTATTTTATTCTAAAATGATAGTCATTCAATGTATTTTATTTCACCCAAATTTCAAATAAAACACAGAGAAAAGACAAAGTATAATGCATCATTTTATTTAAAAAGAAAAAGAGAAAGACAAAGCCTAAGTGAAGTATTTCCTCCTTAAACCAGCCACTGGTTTTCAAAAGTGTAGTAATTGCAAAGTAATCTACATCTGCAACCTTCTTCAGCAAACTCCTGTATAATATCATTCATTCTCTCATTACAGTTTGAGATAAGTAAAATACATCTCTTTCCCTAATCTCATGAATTCAGTCCTCTTTCTCTAGCAGTGCACCTGTGCTAGAGCAGTCAGCGTGAATCCTATAATTATTAGCACTGCGTATTCATTGCATTGGACATTCACATAGCTATACATACAGTTATCTACTGTGCTCATAATCCCTGTGTTAAAATAGCATGAAACGTGTGAATAGGAATGGAATGAGGGGAGAAAAATAAGCATTCAACTGGTATATGAATTTTTTGCTGAATTAATATCCATGAACACATGTATATTAACACATGTAGGCATGCACATACAGATGTAAACATATGAGGGTAATCACCTACTAAACGTATGAATCTACAAATTAAAATGCTCATCAACATCAGAAAACACAAATGTTTATAAAAACAGCTAGAATAATGCCTACAATTTTTGAAGTCTGAACACCCATACCAAATAGTATGTATCCATTAATCTTAGTTTAATATTATTTTCTGAGTGAAGATCCTACAAGCCAAGTTGTCTTCACATTCCATCCGCCTCCCCTGCCCCCTGCACGGTATGCAGTAATATACTGTAAAGAGAACCACGGTCTTTCTTTGCAACAGTCATGCATTTATCTGTGTGATTCCTTTATTAATGCTGCCTTTTTTTCTGAACTGTAAGTTCCATAAATGCAGGACTGTGGCCTCTGCAGGAGAGGCAGTGTGGTGAACTGGTAAAGCACACAGATTCCAGCAACTCATTTTTCAGATTTATACCCTTCCTTTTCCTCCTATTAGCTGTGTGATCTTGGCAATTCATTAATATTTTCTACCTCGATGTCCTCATCTGTCAAATAAGATAATTTTAATGTCTCAAGTAACCCTGAGAATATTTAACAAATCTTTTTATTGAATTTATTGGGGTGACATTGGTTAATAAAATTATATAGGTTTCAAGTGTACAATTCTAAAATATATCATCTGTGTATTGTATTCTGTGTTCACCACCTGATGTCTAGTCTCCTTTGTCTCCATTTACTCTCTTTACCCTATCCTACCTCCTGCCAACCTCCTTTCCCTCTCATAATCACCGTATGTTCTCTGTGTCAATGTGTTCTTTTTCTTTGCTTAATCTGTTCATCTTATCAAAAACAGTGACTGGCACATATTAATTGCAATATTGCATATTGATATTCATAATTAATACTTTTGCTTCCTTTTGTATCCTCAGTGGAAAAGTGGAATGGCTGGACAGCTGGCCATTCATTTGAACAAATAAACAAATGGGGAGAAGGGATCATAGAAATCATCTTATTCGGTGACATTCAAATCACTTTGAAATTGGACTTTGGGCTGCCTTTTCCCATTGGAAGTATATGCAGAATATGTAAGCCCAACAGATAGATTATAAAAAAGAACAGATGCTCTAGAAGAGACTGACAGCTGTCAGAGGGGAGGGGTGGGGGGGATGAAAAGTGAAAGGATTCAGCAGCATAAATTGGTAGTTTCAGGATAGCCACAGGCATGTGGATTACAGCATAGGGAATACAGTCAATAATACCAAGACAAATAAGTATGGGGCCAAGTGTGAACCTGAAGCAACAAAGTGACCGCTGGAGAAAACATGGTTTTCTAGCCACTTTGCAGTAGTGCCTCTGAAGCTGATATAGAAGATGATTGAATGTAAACTGTAATTGACAAATACATTTAAAGAAAATAATAGATACTCCCATTAAAGGTGAGTGTTCATGGAGTCCAAATCCCCATGCTGTACATGTTCATTTACATCCTCAACAGTCCTTAAGTTGTCTCTGCTAAAAATTCAGGGCTCAGGAGAACAGAGGGGAAAATCTCTGATTCAAGTCCAACTACATAAGGCCCAAAAACTTAGAAGCTAATAATAGAAGAAATTAAGTGACCTGTGGAAGTCCAGGTGAATATCAAGTCTTGATTCCAATTAATGACACATACATGCCTTATGAATTATGTCTGTTACATTGCGCCGTGTCCCCAAATTCTTCAAGCACTGTTATATCCTCTCGGCTTTAAGTCACAGTTTCAGGTCCATACATCGACCTTTCAGAAGAAAAGACAAAGGGGGAAAAAAACTAAAAAAAAAACAAACGAACACCACAAAACCCTAAAAGATAGTATTTATATATCTTCCCCGCAGGGGCAGGGGAGAGCACATACAGGGAAAGGACCCTTCAACTGGCATTTGCAGTACATAGGATTTGGGGGCAGAATTTTTAAATGGAGGGCATGTAGAAACTCGCCCCTTTTCCTTTCCCCTTGCTAGCGAGGTCGGGGGTCTGGGAAGAGAGCATTCCTGGGCCAGGGGTCTCTGAAGACCACGTGGCCAGGCGACAAGCTCCATGCCTCTTCCTGTGAGAGAAAGGGCGGCAGCACTGCTGACTGGGACTGTGCTGAGTGGCCCTGCTCAGCCAGGCATATGGAAGCGCTGGCGAGAGGGTAGCTACGGGGACAAGGCAAAAGCCCTGCCAGAGGGCCCTGACCAGAGGAAAGGGCGAACACAATGAGAATGCAATGAATAGGACACCAATGCACAGGGACTCCAAAAGATGCCTGAAGCCAGACTGGGACTGGGAACCAGCTAAGCTGCCTGTGTATCCCAAAGGATGTTTTTGTTTGTTTGTTTGTTTGTTTGTTTGTTTGTTTTGTTTTGTTTTTAAATAGGAGAAGTGACCTTGAACTGATGTGGCAAAACCTGGAGGGGCTATTTTCCTTAGGGCATGTTAAAGGGAATTGGCTTTGAGGCAGAAACCTGTTATTCTTTCAAAATTGTGTAGCTTTTAAATTAAAGACTCCTTTCTTTTTTCACCAAACATTTGCTTCCAGAATTCATGGGCAGCAGGCAGCAGAACCCCACGTGGTTTTATGGTAACAGTTCTACTAAAGGAGGCTCCCTTTCTGCCTCCTTTCCTTCTTCCCTTGCAGCTTCGGGTTCTGAATTAATTCATTCAGCAAATATTGGAGTACTTTCTATGAGGCAGCTAGTTCTAAGCATTTGAGATTCATTTGCAAAAAAAAAAAAGACAAAAACTTCTGCCATCATGGAACTCTATTTTAAAAAAAACACTCCAAATAAAATAAAAGATTTTCGGGACACTGGTGAAGAGAGATTGAAGAAACTTCCTGGATGACATCTTTAAAAAGTTCTTACATTGCGATACCCAGAAGCAAGCACTATTTATAGTGTTAATATTTGTTTTTTCGATTAGTTTATGTAGAGTAATATACATTGTAGTTTTGGTAGCAAATCTTTATTGAGGGAAAATAGGCCATCTTTCAGTATCCTTTACCCTTCATCACTCGACCATAAACACTATGCTACATAATCCATGCGAACAAAGAGTCTGGGGACGTTTTAGACTGTGCACATGACTAAAAATGCCCCCTCAGTAAACAAGTGCAAGCTTGCATCACTCTCTAGGTCTGGCCAGCTCACCCTGCTCTAAAGCGTCAGTAATATTTCAGCCTCTGCCTCAATTAGTGCTAATTACAGTACCTAAGCTATAAAAGTAGATCCCATTATTCGAAGTTCACAGAAATTATTTTAATCCAGCTGTCCACATTATCAATCTGAAATGGTAAATATTTCCTTCACATGTTAACTGTCTTAGACTTGTAATCCAATGTATGTTATGAAAGAGAATTATGTCCAAACTAGCAGTTCATCATTGCTAAATATATAATTAATGAATGAAAAAAAAAGTTAGCCACTTAATATATTCAGTGTTTAGAGATTTGAGATTACACAGAAAATAACATCATGACGAGTTACTGATTTTTTCACTTTTCATCCGAGAATGTTGGCATTGGATAGATACAGTCAGCATTCATTTAGGTCTTATACACTTGAGGCACTAGTTTAATTTACATAGTTAATAAATATAAGTGGAGACACAAAGTCCAAACAAATTGCTAACTTAGAATGAATACATAGCATGATTAGTATTAAAAAAAAACTAGAGAGAAATAAATTGGTATTGTTTGGTAATCCCTATATTAAGTCATTCCATCAAAAAGTATGTTTCTCAATAGAAATCAATTTGTCTTCTGCAAAACAAGAAATCTTCCACTGCTTACCATTACAGGTACCTAATAGAATTATGTATCTAAATTCAACATTCAGCCTAATGTGTTCTTCCATATGAGGGTAGTTAGGCTATGATTAACTCCTCAAAAACAACCATCCATTTATAGAGCTATTAATTAAGAGATATAATAAGAAATGGCACCTGTCTTATAGACAAAAGCCACATGTGTAAGTAAAGCATTTTAAACCTCTCTGATACTATTGTAAAGCAATTAAAGGATTGAGAGAAATAAAATGCATCCATTAAAGTCATATGACATACTAAAAAAAGTATTACATAATTATTAAAAGGAGCTCTCAGAATATTTCTTTAAAAATATTTATAAAGCTCTTTTGCTACAAATTCCTTTTTGTTTTGAAACAATAATGCGATGAATATACCACAGTAAACTCTACAGGACACATAATGCTGTCTATACTTAAAGAAAAAGTATATACATTATATTCATTTGGAGTAGACTTGAGGATGGCAATAATTAAGAAAAGCAACTTAATTTTATTATCAACACTAAGATAAGCATTTAGAGCATAGAAAAAATAAGCTGTTCAAATCTGATTAATGTTAAGCCAAATTCTCATTGTTCATCATGATATACTATAAAAATTTTAGAAAATATCAGTCTGATTCTCTTTTTGAGTTCCAAAATGCCTTGTAAATGTACTATGCTAAAGTGAAATGGATGATTGAACTTTCTGTAAGATCCACAGAGTCTAGGAGTGAAGTTGGGGCATAGGGTGAGGGGAGGAATGTAAACCTAAATTAAAATGAAATTATCTACTTCCCTTTCAAAAACCTTTGGAGATGGTTAGGATTTGTGGATACAGTGGGAATAATAGAAGGAAAAGGACTTGAGAAACTAACCATATTCCTCCTGATAGAATTAAATTTTTAGGGCAAGAAATCAGCATAAATTTTGGACCTTGATCTTTTTTCTGTTGTGGTCACTTCATCTGAAAACTCTATGGATCATCTATAAAATTAATACTTTTTACTCTTAGGTAGCCTGTAATATGAAAAAATGCTGATGACACTGAACGAATCTGTAAGTACAACAGCTACATGAATATATCACAATATTCCATTTAGAGTCAATGAGAATTTGCCATGTCCCCAAATCACTATACTTCTTTGAATATGTCTTTGTGATCAAAGGTGTGCCATCATATCCTAGAATTTAATTGTATCTACTAATCACAAATATATATAAATATATATTCAAATATATTTATATATAAAATTAAGTATTTATAACACAGCCTGCCAGAATTCAGTGCCTGCCAGAATTCAATGCTGCTTTGCATATTCATTATACAAATTCTATAGTTGTATTAGCTTTCTGCAAATGATCTATATATATTCAGTGCAGACAAACTATGATTGATCATTTAATCCATTAATTGGAGTCTGGAAGTTTGATGTTATAGTCATCCTATTTGTCAGATAATTACTCAAGTGTCAATTCCTCTTACTTGTGAGCTATGTTCAGATTATTCAGGAGTGAATTTATTTGATCAGACATATTTCTATATAGAGCCCCAACTTCAAAGATTATCATACCCATTGATTTGTTTTAATAATACATTTGTTTTCTAGATGTACAAATATGGGTTCATTGGCTCTACATGGCTGTTTTATTTTTATCTTATCCCCATTTTTAAAAAATACATTATCTGCTTTCAAATTTGAATTTTGAAACCTCCTTTCTATCCCACATTCCTCTATCCAAATTTCATATCAAAAATCATGCCAAGCATTTCTAACAACTTGATTTCTAAGTTGGAGTGATTCCAGCAGACAACCATAGGGATGTGTGTATAGAATACAAAAAAATATATAATTGGTTAGATCAGAACTATAGTTGTTCATTTAGATATTTTGTCCATATTATACCATACATAGTTAATGAATAACATGAACTGACTAAATCCCTGATAGACTTGCCTTGCTACTGCTTAGCCATGGTTCAACATAATAAGAACAGCAATAGTCACTCTCAAAAAATATATTCAGCTTGGCACAGATTCCAGCCTTGAACAATGTGACTCCATTCAGCCATTGTGGACCAAATTCTTCATGATATGATTGAAATTGGATTCTAAGAATGCTGAGGATACAAAATGTTTTATCCTCCAAATGATTTCAAATATAAGATCATAGAAGTACCAGATACCCAAATCAATCATCAGAATCAAATCTTATAATCAAATCTTATATTCCATTTAAGTTCAAAACAAACCAATTTATACTGGGCAATTTACTGATGACAATGACTAGTTGTGATTGTGGATATCCATTCTAATTAGGTTATTGCTTGAGGGTCAAAATTGGCCTGAAACCTTTTGGAAAATTTGAAGACTATTTATAAAGAACATAAAATTGTGAAAAAGTTGCATGATTTAAAAATTCAGTATTTCCATTTTAAGCCTGTGGTCTAAAAAGGTTATGAAGACAATAGCAAATAGATGTTTAAACACAGTTTCTTGGTGTCTACAGTATTTTTTCTTCCTTCTTTGCTCTTCCTTCAAAGCTGGTGAATTTTTTTTCTTGGGTTTTTTCCACCTCACATTTAGTACAAGGAGACATTTGCAACTTCTGTCAAACAATAAAGAAAGAAAATTAGGAAAGTCAAAACAAAATATACATATTTGGTAAACATTAAAATACAGTATTAATTTAAATGAATAGTAATTCAAATAAATATCTTACAGATAACTAATGCCCAACAAAAAATAAGTGTAACTAGGTCAATACCTCTACTTCATGAAAGTTCATAATATATTGTATACACAGGGCAAGATATTTCAAAATATTTTGAGAAAACTTTGGCCAAACCTTTCAAATCTAATTAATCTAACCCAAAATTTGAAAAATGTGTTAAGTGAAATGAAAACTAACAATTGCTATGACATAATATTTTAGTCAAATGTAGAACAGTACAGATAGAATTTTGGAATTAACTTCCTGAGTTCATTTGTCTGTTATGTGTTTCTGGGGTTATATGTACTTTTTGTACCTCCCCTGCTTCTCCAGGTCTTCCTTTTACCTTTTTTCCCCTAAGGAAAAAAAAAGCATATTTTTCATTCTCAGATTAATTTTGTTTTGTTCCTTGGTCGTGGGGGAGGGGAAGGACAACTCCCTCACCCTTGTTTTTCCGAGGGCCTCAACAATAAAATTAAAAGCTTAGTGGCAGGCACAGTTGTCATGGAAATTTCAAAAAACACCATATGAAGGAGTATCTTTTATTCACCAATACAACACCCTATCTCAGCTACAGCCAGAGAGAAAAATCACAAGAAGTGCTTACTAACATAATCAAAACCAACTAAAAAATAAATACCTGTGGAGTAGCCTCTGGCTCTGCAGTGCTGTTGTTTGGTGGATTTTCTTTACGCTTCATAGAACATGCCTTGTCCTCCTGTGAAAGCTGCAATTAAAAATAAGTCAAAGAAAGTAAATTACATAGTGGAAGGGGATAGAAAAACTCCCTTGAAGTCTTCCCATTGAGACACTTCTGTCGCTTTGATACAATCTCAAAGCCCAAGCTAGGGACAAAATCATCATGAGTGGGAACCCAAGGAGAGGGTAACCATTCATGGTGGGCTTGGGGGTCTCAGTGGTGCTTGTAGCTGCAGCTACTACAACACAGTTCAATTCCAATGTATGGTTCTTCTTTAATAATACTAAAGAATAATAATGAAAGAATTACAAAACTAATACATTTGGGATGTGTCTAGCCTTTAGGATATTGGCATGCCAACGGTCTCTATGTCTGCAGGAACATCAGTCTCGCAAGTCAGGAAAGAATTTAAACAATATGATCATCAATCTGTGTAGCAAAAAATCTTCAATACCTTAAAAGTATTACATTTCTGGTATAATTTCCTATATTTTATTAACCAGGAAATCTAATCTTCCTTATTAGCCTCAATAGTTTAGAAGAAGGCAAATTGCTGGCAGTGTATCCCAACTGGGTTTCACTTCTATTTAAACCAAGATGAAAGTACTAACTTTTCTTCCTTTCCCTTCTCTCCCTCTTCTTTCCCTTCTTACTCTTTTTTCTTTCCCTCTTTGTCTGCCTCTCTTTCATCTTTCTTTCCTTACCACCACTCACTCCCCCCTCCTCCTTTTTTCTTCCTCTATATTTTGAACACATTTTTTTCTGACACCAGAAGAACTTATTTTTATTAATAAAAAATGACAAATGGAGTTCAGCAGTATGTATCCACTGTACACATTTTTAAAGTAATGATAAAAAACCATTTAGTATAATAATATGGATTATTTTTTAATATTTAATTTCTTTTTATTTTCCACAACCCTTTCCTTGTGTAAAACAGAGCTTTTGAGTTCAATAGTTCATGGACACCAGTTGGCTCTGGCCTTGAACAGGCCAGTTTGTTTCCTTGGGGGCAAAAAGAAGGACACTTAAGCTAGTTTTGAACTCTAACATTCTGCAAATTCTACAAGTAGGAGATTTAACCTACTCCAGTTCAGATTTTAGGGCAAAGTTATTTTATATGCTCCCCATTCTCACACTATATTGCTCTTACTTGACCAAACACTGTGTCACTTTCTGCCTGTGCCTATGCCTATGGCATCTTGCCATGATAAAAATCTGTCTTCACTGTGGCATTCTGAAAATTAGTTACTCTTTCTCTCCCTAGCACATCACCGCTACCGCTAACAGACTCAGTAACACTTTCCTGTTCTGAAGGTACAATAAATATAAAAATTTTGGCATTTAACTTTGTTATGAATGTATAAGCATGTATGACTCCTCAATATGTAGCAAGTTCCCTAAAGCCAAAGGCAATGTTTATCGGACCTAAATGGCAGCAAGATGTCTGCCATATAGCAAGTGACCAATATGTAATCTCTGAATAAATAATAAATGAATAAAACAGAAGTTGGCTATGAAATATTACAATTCCTAGAATTTTAATAAATGTCGGATTTTTTTTCATAAGATGAAATTTAGGTATATCTGACAGAGGCTCTAACATGATTACACACAGCCTCTTTTTCTAAATAAGCATACAGTACAGTGGAAAAGTAGGTTGTAATTATAATAACAGCAACTGGTAGTCAAAACCTTGACTCTCTTATTCCCAGGAATTTTAGGTAGATGTGCAGTAGAACCTAATAAATAAATGTTCCCTTTCATATTGCATGGGTTTGAGATAGAAATCTAATCTAAAATTACTCTGGAAAAATTATTTGATTCTCATTGTGATAATATAATTGGTCTTTGTTTTTATTGTACTTGCATTCAGCCTTTTAAAGGTTAACAAAAGTAAGTATATGAAATCAAGCTCAAAAAACATGGTAAGTGCAGAAAGAAACCTGTATAGTGAAGGATATCCAAAATGTATTTTTGAATAATGGAGTTCATAACTCCTATAAGTTTGGAGGAAAAGTTTACTTGAACAGTAATCATTTGTATTGAAAGTAGTTCTCTGCACTTTCAATACATACTTTCTTTTTTTTTATTTTTTAAAAGATTTTATTTATTTATTTTTTAGAGAGGGAAGGGAGGGAGATATATATATAGAGAGAGAAACATCAATGTGCAGTTGCTGGGGGTCATGGCCTGCAACCCAGGCATGTGCCCTGACTGGGAATCGAACCTGCGACACTTTTGGTTCACAGCCCGCGGTCAATCCACTGAGCTATGCCAGCCAGGGCTTCAACACGCACTTTCTTAGAGTTTTGGTCTTGATTGATCTGTCCACATAATTGCTTAAGGTAGTTGTTTAAAAAATAATACCCTTGGGTGATAATCCAGTCCTGTAAATACAGGACTTGCATTTTTAAGCAGCACTCCAGCAATGCAAATGCACATTGAAAGTTGAAATCCACTTCATAATGCATAAATGCCTTATAAACCTTTTAGAAAGATATATGATACAAACTATTTTCCAAATATATTCGACCTCAAAAACTTGTGTGTGTGTGTGTGTGTGTGTGTGTGTGTTTGGAGCATCACTTTAGGTGACTGCCCGGGGGAAAATACTAAAGATTTCAGTGGAGTATGTGCTTCCATTACTGCAAGCATAGCTGACCATTTGAGGCAAGCCTTTGATCATCTGCACAATGAAAACTTATTAAATTTTAACATTAAAGAAAACACTATATGGCTGGAAGACAGCTCAAATCTTTTTAGATGCTTTCATCTTATAATGAACAATACCTTTAAATGTACTTTTTCTGTGCCTCATAGGTACTGTGGAAACTTCATGAGATGGAGTTCAAAAAAGTCTTAGTGTTTCTCAGAGAAGCAACAGTTAAAGGGCAACAAAGTTATGGTGTGAGATATTGTGCCTTAAAAGGCATCTCATCAACTTTATAGTCAACTTATTGCAACATTGCTGTTGGTAGAAACTAGGTTCTTCCATGGTATGGCAAGGCAATCATTCTAAGGATCCACACATGGGAGATGGTGGGGGAAAAGATGGTTTACTCATGTTGAAGCCTGTCCCTCAGTTTCCAGTGTCCCATCTTCCCCTGTCTCACCATGGAAAAAGTCCAACCTTGTCCTCAACAAGGCCAAAGCAAGAGCAGTGCCCAGAGTTTCATGCTAAAGCTCAGTCCTTTGGAGCCCACAGGCAGCTGCTGAGTGGTCTCAGTCCCCATTCAGGTTGGTTAACTAGTTCTAGGCTGCTCCAGTGAGAGTCTATTTGGCTGTCAGCCATGTAGCTGTTAAGCCCACCTTGTCATGGAGAGGAAAGTCACATTCACCATGTGAGTACATTACCAGGGAGGTGAGGGGACAGAGACAGAGAGAGAGAGAGAGAGAGAGAGAGAGAGAGAGAGAGAGAGAAGGGGAAAGAAACATGAGCCTTTTGTTCCCCTGGGATTATATTAGCTTGGGTTTGGCACAGACTAGGTGCTTCTACAAAATGACCTATGAATTTTCCAAGCTTTCACTGGCTTTGGATGGGTTTATCCCCTACCAATTCTTTCTTTCCCCAAGCTAGACCAGCAGACCTGTTTGGTCAAGAACCTCCCTCCGTACCATTTCATTACTCTTGCACATGTGCCTGCCTTCCCCTGCTCCCACCTAGCAATCTGGTATGGAGAGGGGTGGGGGAGAAGTTTTGGCTCCCTTGGCAGGGCAACGCCATGACACCCTGGAATGTAAGGCTTCCTGGCTAAGCAATCAGAGGCCTATTCCCACTTTATTAAGCTCAGTGTCTAGTCCCCTCAGTTCCCTTTCTATTAGCTAAATATCAATGGTAACATTTGTACAACCATTAATGGTCAATATCTTTATATTAGGTATTAGCATGCTTATTAGGCTTTTTTTTTATTTACCAAAATAACAAACATTATTCTTATGATTTCTATACTAATGCTGGTAAAAAAATCAAATTTACGTTTTTGCATGCTTCAAATTAAGATGTCATGGGAGAGTAAACATGGAAATTTATATCTAATTTGAAAAACAATTCATATTTAAAAGTTTTAAAGACCTTAGGGAACTACCTACCACTCCTACATTATCTGGAGGGATGAATACTTCTTGTAAAATACCACAGTAGCACCATGAGAAATGCCTTGTATGAAGTCAGCCTCCTCAGATGGTCTGATGGAGCGTAGTCTGAAATGACCATGGTAGGTGGGAGTCTCGGCCCAATTAAAACAGGGCATGACTTGCCTAGAAAAATTTTAAACAAGCCTTTGCCAACAACTTATTAGGGCCATCAGATGTCACATAATGAATATTGGATGTAATAAGCAAACTAGGATTTCTTCAAACTAACAAAATTAGTTTCACATGACAAAGTTGGCATCATTTTCTCCTTGCAGCTCTAGGATTTATTTTCTGAACATTTTCTTCTCTCATTTCCCTAGACAATACTTTTTGTTCTGTTGAATAAACTCCGTTTGGTCAGAAACTCGCAAGCAAATGTAATGGCAAGAAACTGAGCAAGTGTTCACAGTGCTAAACACTGTATTTTTGTAAAACATTGTGAGAAATTAAATGTTTGTTGCCTACGGCAGTCAGAAACATAGTAAGACAAATTAACACAAAGTAGTAAATCTTAATCTCTAAGTGGAAATTAAAATAAAATGCTCAACGTCTTTAATTTTGGATATGCTCTCAAACACTATGAGGCACATTTACAAACTGCACAAAAGCGGGATGAAGCAGTTACATCCTCTGCGTTCTCCATGTGACTCCAGTATAGTTAGTTAAGCAAAGCTGCTTTCGAGTCATTTAAACATATCCCAAACTGATAGCCCCATATGCTGTTAAGCCTTTGGTGATTTTTCTGTTTAAATAAAACAAGAAACACAAAACAAGGGCCAAAGCCTCCAGAGGTCATTTTTCTACTCGACCTTGTCTTACTTGGACTGGGCAGGAAGTAGGAGGTGCGTGACCTCCACTCCCATTTGGGACCTTGACCACAGAAGATATTGAGACTTTGCATAAAAATTGCAGAATAGGTTTTTTAGAATGAGTAAAGTAGGACTTAAGCAGGATATAATTGAATATTGTATATTTAATATCTAGTATATAATAATTATATGTAATGATGTTATATGTATTGTTTTATGTGTTTTATCTAAGTTTATAAATATAATTATATATTATATATAATTACAGTATATATCATTATCATGATAAACATGCAAGAAACCAATATAAAATTTCCCCCCAAATTTAATAAGAAATGCTGATAGAAGAAAATCTAGGTGAGTTTATTAAACAATACACATTCCTGGGCTGTCCCCAGAACTGCTGATTAATTTTTTGTGGGAGTGGAGCCTTACTCTAAGCAATTTCATAGGTTGACCTGGTGATCTACAGGCATGCAAAAGTTTAACAACTAATGCTATACATGTCACAAATAAGGGATATGAATGATAAAATAATTTGCTAAGGGGACATGTTAAGAAAGAGCCAATTTGTTCATTAAATCTAGGTTTTATGTAGTTTCCAGGTTTTCTTTTCTATGTTATCTTGTCTCAGGTGCGACCAACAGGAATGAAAATGCATCACCTTTGCTATTTATTCACTGAGATGTTGCCTGTGCTCCCATCAGCTCAGTGAGGTCGCTGGTGGTCAGAGTACTGGTTTGAAAGCGATGCTGACATAACATAATACTTGTTTTCTTTCTTTTTTTTTAAAGATTTTATTTATTTATTTTTAGGAAGGGAAGGGAGGGAGGTAGAGAGAGAGAGAGAGAGAGAGAGAGAGAGAGAGAGAGAGAAAGAAACATCAATGTGCGGTTGCTGGGGGTTATGGCCTGCAACCCAGGAATGTACCCTGGCTGGGAATCGAACCTGGGACACTTTGGTTCCCAGCCCACGCTCAATCCATTGAAGTATGCCAGCCAGGGCATTTTTCTTTCACTCCCATGTTTCATTCCCCAACTATAATTATAAAAATTGTTTTACATTTTTCAATCAAATACTGTGTCCTCCAGTAGCTGAGTCTATTTTCATGTATTTTTCATTAAGAGTTTACTTTTTTATTTGACTGAAATATTCTCCTTATAGCTGTTGCCACAAGCTGCATCATGTTCTGCCCTGAGAGTAGCAATTAATAAAACTGGACTCTGTTTAAAATTATAGTTTTTAAGGCTGTCTGTGTCATGTCTTAAGTTCTCTCCTTTGAGAAATTAAAATATTTAATTCAAAAATATGTATTGAGGTTTCAAGTAACAGGAATAGCTTTGCATAAAGAAACAGAAAGTAATAATTACTGAGGGCTGGTTTCGTGCCAACAATATACCAGACACTAAGCTAGGCTGTGTCATTTCATCGTTGAACAAGCTGTATAAGGGAAGATACATTTATGTCTCTTTTTCAGAAGAGGAAAATCAGCCCTCAGAAGGGCTAAACATTCAGGGTCACACACTGGGTAACTGGCAAAAACCTAAATGAATCTAATCAATGTTACATTCCTGACTTTGCAGCCTTTCATTTCAAGCCGTAGTAGACACACTCCATTTGTCACTGTTGACCTTAGAAGTGCCATATCTAGAATGGACCATGCTTTGTCAGTCAAGACTCTTTAGCAAAATTTTATAAAGGATTTATCTCCCTTATTCTAGATGTAGCATCTTAAATACTGGGCATCAACACTGGAATTTCATGTAGTTGTTTGGCCAATCTGATCACATTTTGACCCCAGAGCTCACAGTCACTTAAAACAATTTAATCTGATTCAAGATAAATATAGAAAAGTTAGTTGCATTTCTATGGCTAGCAATAACAATCTGAAAATGAAATTCAGAAAACAATTCCTTTATAATTCAATTAGAAACATTAATGTACCTAGTAATAAAGAAAGCAAAAGAAGTGCAAGACTTCCTCACTGAAAATCTATGAAACATTGCAGAAGGATATTATAAACGATATAAATAAATGGAAAGGCAACCCATATTTATGGACTGGTTACATAAGTGATGAACTTATCACTGAATTGAACACAAACATTGGAAAACCTTAACTATATTCCTAATTCAAACCAGGGTCCCTCCACTTAAGTCCCAAATTATCTTTTTGGATACGTATCTCACCTCTTTCTGCACTCCATTTTTCTAGCCATGTGAATCTGCTTTCTTCTCCCTGTACATGTGCTCACACTGTCAGAGACCTATCTGTCCTTCAAGTTGCAACAAAGTATTCCTCCCTACCCCAATATTTTTTATTTCTTCCTCCCTTGGGATTCAATTGCAGAGTATTTAATTTTTACTGCTCACTAATCTTATTAAGTTCTAAATTGTATGGTTTTAGTACATGTTTAAATACACAAAGATAGGAATGTAACTTGTTGAGAAATTCATATTTCTAAGTTCACTTTGGCAGCCAATAGAAGAAAAAGAAATGGACTTGGTTAACCTACTTTCTATTTAGACTTATTTTATTGCTTGATTTCTTTTCAATCGTGAATAGTGTCAACAGATACTTTGCATTTTGTTACCTAGATTGAAGCCTACCTTGGAATTGACTCAACACAATTGTTGTCGTTTGCTGTTTCTCAACTCCAGACATGATAAATCTGTAACTGTGCCAAAGTTTCAAAGTTAAAATTTCATGACACTTACTATAACTGAAAATCCCGCAGAGTACAAGTTCCATCATTCTTATTGTCATGTGGAGGCTGAGAATATCCCTTCCCCTAATGGAATCTCTCTGTAATGCCAAGTTTATCTGCTTCATGGGGAAAGAACTATAAACACATCCTTTGGGATGGCATTTCTTTGTTTTTGTTTTTAATATTTTAACAGATTTCTTTCATGTGGTTGTCAAAGTAAGCACTCTGTTGAATGCATGGTTACCTGCCTTACATCTGACAACTCAAGTTCACAGTACTCCTACCAATCTGGCTATACTGATACTTCCTAATGGAAAACCTATCTGATTCACATCCAAAGAACACCTGCATTTTGAAGTTTTGAAGTGCAATGTTTAGATAGTGAATAGTATACATAAATAGAATGTTTCATGATGGCATGAACTAGGATTGTTAAGATGCTTATGTTCTTGTTTTCATGTTGAATACTGTTAAGGCTCTTTTAAGTTAACCTTACATTTTCAGGATTGCACTCAGGGACATTCAGATTTTCTTCCTTTGTTGTAACAACTTGAGTGTTCTCGTTGCTTCCAGGAGGGCTTTGTTCAGGCTGCAGACGGAAAGAGAGAACATAAAAAGAGAAAGACAGAGACTCAGAGCAAGAAATAAGTTTAACAAATAGATTCATGGGACATTGTAAAATATAATACAATGGCAACATTGCGGTCAAAGAGGAAGAATAACATGCAAATTTGTATATATTAGAGACCTTAAATTGTGTACATTAAAAATTCTTAACTTTAAAACTAAATAAAATAATTTCTACTCTATTTTATATTAGTGATGTCCAATGGAATTATTTTAAGAATCCTAGTTCCTCACAAAAAATGAATCCTGTATTTTATCTTTATTTTAACTTCTAGAATATCTGAGAACTATTAAGTACATACCTTATTTTTCAGTAAGACAGAAAATGTTTTATAACCTCACTGTAATTTGCTTCACTGCAATGCTAACTAATTAATGGCTGCTATATACCACTGGAAATCTAAAATATCATTCTGAAATTCATCTCTTCAGGAACACTCATTGACAAAATAAAATAAAAAGTCGGTTTTCCAGGTGCTGGCTGGGGAAGAGTATACCATAACTAATGTATGTAAATATCTCTATAGGCTGATCTAAGGCTGTGTCCTCAAATGTGTGTTTCTTCCGCAAAGCTGGTTCGAATATGCTGCTTTGCCCTTTAATCTGTGAGGGTACAATTGTGGGATAGGCAAAAACTAAACTCAGTGAGCACTAACTTGCTTGGACCTAGACCTTTCATGTTTGTGGACCACAGGGAAGGAAGGAAAGAAGAAGACAAAGACTGGAATGTGGCCTGGTCAGAGCACTGAACCCACTCAAGTTTCCCTGTGATGCACATTAAACAGCACTGGCCTGTTTTTACACAGGGAGTTATATTCCTTAGCAAGGGGATATTCTTACAGAAATAATAATTTTATAAAAATAAAAACAGCTCTGGCTGGTGTAGCTCAGTGAATTGAGCGCAGGCTGTGAACCAAAGGGTCGCTGGTTCAATTCCCAGTCTAGGGCACATGCCTGGGTTACGGGCCGGGTCCCTAGTGGGGGCCATGTGAGAGGCAACCACACGTTTCCCCCCCTCTTCTCCCTCCCTTCCTCTCTCTCTTTAAAAAAATGAATAAATAAAATCTTTAAAAATTTTTTAAAAATAAAAACAAAATAGTCTTAATAAAATTAGTTGAGTACGAAACATAAAAACAATAAATGAACTAGTAGCATACTAGATAAACAGTAGAAAATAAAACACCTTTGTTGACAAACACAGTTTCTATATTAAGTCACCTAAATGCGGGGCTTTCTTTGTAATAATGAATAAATAAAGCAAATAAAATTGCTTTTTCTTTATACTTAAAGAACTTTCACTAAATTTTGTGAGATCCAGAAGGCACCTCTGTCTTACTCCCTCTTTCTCTCCTGGTCTTTCTTATTTAAGGTCTCTGTCTTCAGAGCACCCCTCTGCAGCTTCCTAGGAATAAGGAAAATGCTTGAACAGGAGAACAAATGTTTTCAAATAAGCCAGCTCTGTGTTACAAGAGGAATATAAAGATGAGGAAGGTGTTGTTTTTGTCTTCATAGAACTTACATAATCTGATTTTAAATCACATAAATAGTTCTAATAGAAAGTAGACTAATAAAAGCAGGCACAAGCAGAGTTGTGTATATTTTGAAAGGAGAAATGTCAATGCCATTTGGGGTGATAAAAGAAGGCATGATGAAAAGGGTAATCTTCAAAATGGGCCTTTGAATGCTTAAGGCAAGAATGAGGGGAAGATATTCCAGGTGACGGAAACTCTGCAAGAAAATATATGCAGGAAGAAGAGTCACGTTTTGGCCCTGTAGAAGGGCATCAGTAAAGTAATTATGAGAAAAATGCTATGAGGTAGGGAGGAGAATCCCAAATTCAAACTACAAAGTGTGTGCTTCATTTAGTAGCCAAAGGGGTGTCTATTGGATATTTCAAAGCAGGGCTAAAGCCCCTGTCAAAATGAAATGGCAGCAGTGTTCAAGAAAAATGGAACAGAAAAGAACAAGATGGGGAAAACAAGAAAGAAGCCATAAAGAATGACCGAAGAGCTGGTAACAAAGGAGGAACTGAAGCACTGACTTGGACAATCGGAAAGAGATTGGGCAGTGATCACAATGAGAGCAAAGAGTATAACCTACAAAATTGAAAATCTCTATAAAAGTAGAGAAACCTGCAGAAATGATAGATTTATAGAAAGAAGAAAACTTTTACATTATTAATAGAGAATTTAAAACACTTGGGAATATTAAATACAAAGGGGGAGCCCCCCAAAAAACAGAATTCATTTATAAAAAGTTAGGTCTTTATTCTTACATACTTAAACTTCAGTTACCTTCCAAATAATCTCCACTTGATATAGTACATTTATAGAGCCTTTTTTTCAGTGTTCAAAACAGTTTTTAAACATGTCAATTTTGATGCCTTTTAGTGCTTCTGCTTTTTTGTTTGTTTGTTTGTTTTCCCTCCTCCACACCAGCAAAATGTTTCCCTCAGAGGACTTTTTTTTTAATTGGGGAAACAAACAAAAGAAAGTTGTTCGGGTCAAGATTGGGTGAATAGGGAGGGTGGGGCATGGTAATCTTGCTATTTTTGGTCAAAAACTGCCAACCACTTAGCACTGTATGGGCAGGGGCACTTGTAAGTCAACCATCATGAAATGGGCAAATGTATTGAAAGAGTCTTCAAAAAAAAATTTACTGAAGTCATACACAGCCTGTCACAACAAAGCCAAGTGGTACACTGATACAGATGGGTGCCTAGAACACTCACCAACAGGGGAATTGTGTACTCCAAGGGGCCTGCCCTCCAGAAGATAATTTTGTTTTTGGAGGCCCCCCTTGTAAATAGGCACTATTGGATAACAGTGTTAAAAAAAGACAGTTCTCCAAGGGGGACATAGAGAGGGTGCAGAAACTTATGAAAGTATGCTCAGCATCACTAGCCATCAGAGAGATGCAAATAAATCCACAATGAGATACCACTTCACGCCAGTGAGAATGGTCATCATAAACAAATCAACAAACAGTAAGTGTTGGTGAGGTTGGGGAAAAAAGGGAAACCTAATGCACTGTTGGTGGGAAAAGAGACTGGTGCAGCCACTGGAAAATAGTATGGAATTTTCTCAGAAAACCAAAAACGGAACTGCTTTTTGACCCAGCAATGAAATTGCTGGGATTATACCCTAGGAATCCTGAAACACCATTTCAAAAGAACTCATGCATCCCAATGTTCATAGCAGTGTAATTTACAATAGCCAAGGGCTGGAAGCAGCCTAAGTGCCCATCAGTAAATGACTGGATCAAAAAGCTGTGGTACATTTACACAGTGGAATTCTATGCAGCAGAAAGAAAGAAGGAGCTCTTACCTTTCATGACAGCATGAATGGGACTGGAGAGCATTATGCTAAGTGAAATAAGCCAGGCTTTGAAAGACAAATCCCATAGGATCTCACCTATAAGTGAAACCTAATCAACAAAACAAACACACGAGCAAAATAGAACCAGAGACATGGAAATAAAGAACAAACTGACAGTGATCAGAAGGGAGGAGGGGGGTGGATAATGGGGCAAAGAAAGGGGAAAAGGTCAAGCCAAGGAACAAGTATAAAGGGCCCATGGACAAAGCCAAAGGAGGTTAGGATTGAATGTGGGGGGTGGAAGTTGGGTAGGCCTGTGGAGAGTAATGGGGGAAAAATGGGGACAACTGTAAGTGAACGACAACAAAAAAAAGTAAGAATCAAAACACATATTTAATCTTGCTAAAATCTGCTGAACATCAACCATTTTTCTTCTCATAACCTACAAGTTACAGATAGCTTGAGGCAATGTGTTAAAACAGAACAAGGGGAATAAATAAACAATAGCAAAGGAGAGTCATCTTGGCATTCACAATAAGAACCACAAGTGTAAAAACATAAACAATAAAGTAAATCACATGAACAGGCAAGAAGAATTTTTAGTGTATTTTGTTTTTGTTAAAAAATTGAATCACTGAACAGTTGTCCCAATACACCCTTGTAAACTTAATTGAATGTATAACAACATTAAAGGAAATTGAAATATAAAACTCATCCAGCCCTGGCTGCTGTGGCTCAGTGGATTGAGTGCCAGCCTATGAACCAAATGTTGCTAGTGTGATTCTCAGTCAGGGCATATGCCTAGGTTGCCAGCCAGGTTCCCTATGGGGGCCACATGAGAGGCAATCACACATTGCTATTTCTCACCTTCTTTTTCTCCCTCTCTTCCCCTCTAGATAAAAATAAATAAATAAAATATTTTAAAAAATAATATGAAATAAAACTCATCCATTATTCTAAATATAACTTTTTTCTCAATGTTATCTTCCAGTCCTTGTCCATAGTGACATACATTAATATTCTATGTAGTCACAAATTATAGTGCCCATGTCATTTTTATTCTGTTTTTAGACATATGACAAATATACTTTATACACCTAAGGATAAATCTCAGGATATATCTATCCTTTATAGGTTTAAACAATATTTCATAGAAAAAGTTTTCAAAAACTGTGTATCGGAGTTTAAAGATTTGATGGCTTTGAGCTTAAGTTATATACATCATATTGTGGAAAACATATTCTTGGTGATAGCCTGCACAGCCACTGATATCACATTCGCCATTGGTTTAAATGTCTGCCTCTCCACCAGGGCTGGGAACTCCTGCAGAAAAGGAATTGTGCCTCATCCATCATTGCATTCTTTGAAGCTAGTAAGTACTTGAATAAGTTTTGTTCATTTTTTCATCATTTATTTAAGATATATGTCTTAGGCTAGAGAGCGTAAGAATTAAGGATCAGTACTGAAAGAAAAGGAATAGACACATTTGTGGTCACATAAATCTTTCTAAAATGTGGTATGTGAAAGACTTTCAGCAATACTAGTCAAATACTAAATGCATAGTTCTTTATCTCAGAGAGCTCTGATTTGTTCTTTATTAACGGTTATTATTTCTTCTACCCTCCTTATTTTATTCTGAAGGGCT